TTTAAAAAAATAAATTTATTGTTTATTTTTTAGATATTTTCTTTTTAAACTTTGAGTTCCAAATTCTCTCTCTCACCCCTTCTGTACCTACTGAGAAGACAAGAACATGAAATCATTTATACATATGAAATCATGTAAAACATTTCCGTATTAGCCATCCCTTAAAAATATATAAACAAAAAATGAGAAAATTATCCTTCACTTTATACTCACAGTTCTTTCCCTGGAGGTGAATAGCACTTTTTCGTCATGAGTCCTTTGGAATTTTCTTGGATAATTGTATTGATCAGAGTAGCCAAGTCTTTCACGGTTGATCATCATATAACACTGTTGTAACTTTGCACAATTCTCTCCTGGTTCTTCTCACATCACTTTGCGCCAGTTCATGTAAGTCTTCCCAGGTTTTTCTGAAACCATTCATCTTACCATTTCTTATGGCTCAGTAGTACTCCATCACAATCATATGCCACAACTTATTCAACCATTCCCCAACTGATGAGCGTCCCCTTAATTTCCAATTCTTTGCCTCCACAAAAAGAGCTGCCATAAATATTTTTGTGCATATAGGTCCTTTTTCATTGATCTCTTTGGTTATAAACCCAGTAGTGGTATTGCCATGTCAAAAGGAATGCACAGTTTTATATTTCTTTGGGCAGAGTTCCAAATTATTCTCCAGAATGATTGGACCAGTTTATAACTCTAGCAGTTTATTATTGGCCTATTTTCCCTCATTCACTTTAACAATTGTAATTTCTGATAACCTGTGAAGTTGTGTCTCAGAATTGTTTTAATTTGCTTTTCTTTAATCAATATTGATTTAGAGCATTTTTTTTCACATAAGTATAGATAGTTTTGATTTCTTCTTCTAAAATCTCCCAGTTCATATCCTTTAACTACTTATCAGTTATGGAGTAGCTCTTATTTTTATAAATTTGACTCACTTCCCTATATATTTGAGAAATGAGGCCTTTATCACAGAAACTTGCTATAAAAATTGGTACTACTTCATTGTCTATAGTACCTTTTAGTAAAATGTAGTTTCCTTGATTATCTTTTTTCATTAGGTCTCTTTTTGCTCTTGCTTTGTCTAAGATCATAATTGTTACCCCTGCCTTTTTTACTCCAGCTAAAGCATAAAAGATTTTGCTCCATCCCTTTATTTTAACTCTGTGTATGTCTTTCATTTCAAGTGTGTCTCATGTAAACAACATATTCTGGATTCTGGTTTCTACATTTTATCTACTTCTGTTTTATAGATGAGCTTATCCTCTTCACATTCACAATTATGATTACTAATGCATTTTTCTCTATCCTATTTTTTTCTGTTTCTCCTTCTCTCTCTTCTTATCCTGTCCCTCCTCAAAAATCTGTTTTGCTTCTGACCACTGCTTCCCTTAATCTGTCCTCTTTTATCATCTTCCCTACGCTTCATCTGTTATCTCCTTCTCTTCTTATTTCCCTAGGGAAATAAGATTTTCTTGATTTTATACCATACTGATTATATATTATATTCTCCCTCTTTGAACCAGTTCTGATGAGAGTGAGGTTCAAGCTTTGCCTGCCACCCCTCCCCCCACCATTTTTTCCTCCACTATAAAAGCTCTTCCTAGCATGCCTCTTTTATGTGAGAAAATTTTCCCCATTCTACCTCTCCCTTCCAGCTTCTCTTCCAGTGAATCCTTCTTTCTCATCCCTTCATTTTTTTTAGATCATCCCAACATAATCGATTTATACTCATGCCCTCTGTCTATGTAAACTCTTTTTAACTGCCCTAATAATGGTAAAGTTCTTAGGAGTTGCATGTATCATCTTCCCATATAGGAATATAAACAATTTAACTTTATTGAGTCCCTTATGCTTTACTCTTTCATGTTTACCTTTTTATGCTTCTCTTGAGTCTTGTATTTGAATGTCAAATTTTCTATTCCAGTTTTTTTCATCAGGAATATTTGAAAGTCCTCTATTTCATTAAATCTTCATTTCCTTCACTTAAGGATTATACTCAGTTTTGCTAGATAGGTTATTTTTGGTTGTAATTGTAGCTCAGTTGCCTCTAGAATATCATATTCCATGTTCTCTACTACTTCAACACAGAAGCCACTAAATCTTGTGTGATCTTGACTGTGGTGCCACAATATTTGAATTGTTTCTTTCTGGCTGCTTTCAATATTTTCTCCTTGACGCAGGAGCTCTGGAATTTAGCTGTGAGAATTTTCATTTGTGTGTCTGTTTCAGGATGTGATTGGTGGATTCTTTCTATTTCTATTTTAACATCTGATTCTATGGTATCAGGGCGGTTTTCCTTAATAATTTTTTGAAATATGTCAAGACTCTTTTGCTGATCATGGCTTTCAGGTAGTCCAATAATTTTTGAATTATCTCTCCTAGATCTGTTTTCTAAGTCAATTGTTTTTATGATGAAATGTTTAATATTTTCTTCTTTTTTAATTCTTTTGACTTTGTTTTATTGTTTCTTGATGTCTCATGGAATCATTAGCTTCCACTTGCCCAATTCTAATTTTGAAGGAATTATTTTCTTCAGTTTGTACCTCCTTTGTACTTCCTTTTTGTACCTCCTTTTCCATTTGTCCTGTTTTGCTTTTTAAGGAGCTCTTTTCATTAGTGAATTTTTGTGTCTCTTTTACCATTAGGCCAAGTCTGTTTTTTTTTTAAGTGTTATTTTTTCAGTATTTTTTTGTGCCTTGTTTCCCAAGCTGTTAATTCTCTTTTCATAATTTTCTTGCATTGCTCTCATTTCTTTTCCCAATTTTTCCTCTACTGCTCTTGTCTCTTTAACTTTTCCAGGAATACTTGTTGGGCTGGGGTCCAGTTAACATTTTTTTTGAGGTTTTGCTTGTAGTTGTTTTCACATTGTTGTCTTCTTCTGAGTGTTATCTTGATCTTCCCTGGCACCAAAGTAGCTTTTTATGGTCAAATTCTTTTTTGTTTTTTGCTCATTTTTCCAGCCTGTTTTTTGACTTTGAGCTTTCTATTAAAGTTGAACTTTGCTTACGTAGAGGTGAGGAGGCATTGTGCCAAGCTTCAGCTTTTTTGTGCTGCTGTTTTAAGAGTTTGTTCTGGGGTCTGCAAGTTTTTGGTGCTTCTAAAAGTCACCATTCTCTTGGCCTGGGCTCTGGTCCTAAAACTACGATAGGGACCTTGCTCCCTTGTGATCATCTAGAAACACTCCTCTCTACCCTTTAACTGCCACTTAGAACTGTGTATAGGCAATAGAGTAGACCATCATCACCAGCAGCATCCAGTGCCAGCAAACAGCCCCTTTTAACCTCTTTCTGACCAGTTGTCTGGCCCCCCTCCCTTTCCCCAGTTACTGTCTCTGGACTTAGAGTTCTGGTTCCCACCCAGGTGTCATAGAGCTATTCTTGCCAGCCTCCTAAATTGTGTTAGGCTGGAAAGATGTCTCACTCTGACTGTTTGTTGGCTCTCCTGCTCTAAAATTTTATTTTAGGAGTTATTTTAAAGTTGTTTGGAGGGGAATGTTGGGAGAGTTTAGCTGGGTTGTCACCTGTACTCTGTCATCTTACAAATGCCATCTCTTTAATGAAGCTTTTTAAAAACTAATCTTCCACCTTCTGAATTAACATTACTTTGTATTCTGATTATTGTGTTTTCATGACTTTTATTATGTTTATTTTTTCTCTTGTGCTTATTTGTCTATGCCCTCTCTCCTAGTACACTGTAAACTCCATGAGAACAAGATCCCTTTCTGAATTTTCTTTGTGTCTTCCAGAGTGTCATTTGCTCATGTAGGTAGGTGCCTAGTAACATTTTCTTGAACATGTAAGTAAGTGCCCATTAAATATTCATAGAATGAATGAATGAGTTACAAGGTCAGTGTTTGAGTCTTGACTATCCCTTACTTGCTTTAGGATCTAGGGAAAGCCACTTAGCGTCTCCTGAGCCTCTCTGTCCTCATCAGGAACTTGAGCATATCTGCTCTGATTCTCTCATAGGGTTATTGAGAGGATCAGATGTAATAATTGATGCAAAGTTGCTTTGTAAACTCTTAAGTGCTATTTGCCTTAAACCTATTAGGCATCTTTTTTTTTCTTTAAATTTTATAACTTTGCACAGTACCTAGATGATGGAATAGTGGAACCTGGTCCCTAAAAGGCCCTAAGACATGTCTCTGAAAGTAACCCAGAATCTCAGGGTCCCTTCCCCCTTACCTCCCCTGGTGAGAAAATTCTCTCCTTGTTACAGGCAGATAGAGTTAACCGTGTAGTTCCTCAGATAAAGGCTATCGTCACAGACACAAGGGATGCCTGCTCAAGGATCCTGTCTCTGGTGCCTGCCCAAGGACCGTGCAGTGGCAACTCTTCTGTCTTGTTCCGTCAACTCTGTTATGTCCCTTAGTTTTCCCGTACATTCCAGCAGCCCAGCACCTGGACTACTTGCATATAACTGACCACTCCCTAATCCCACCCAACATCACCTAATTAGCGTACTTGGCGTCCTTTCACTGTCCCTTTTCCATATAAGCATTAGTATCATCCTCATCAGGTTGCAGGTTCCTTAACAACCCTTGCCCGCTTCTATTGGCATCACTTGATTAAGGGATGGCTTGAGTGCGAATTCATCCCAGGCAACTCCGCCTTGGACCCTGACATTTTGGGGGTCCCAGCATCCCCAAACCATGTCATAGACAAGTGATCTATATAGAGCGGACTTGCTGACATAGAATTATATATGTTGTAGCGCCATTGGGCCCCTGTAATATAAATAATTGTGCACAGCACCTCTTTTGTAATAGAATATCTTTTGGAAAGTCTAGCAAAAGGCATCTTGAGCATTTTAATGTGAAAATATAAGTGCTGTTTTTTAGTCCATTAAATACTATTTTTAGAATTGAGTTAGTGCTGGGTATTTTTTTTTTCCCCAGCAAAGCAACCTAATTAAGGTAGTGGTTCCGACTTCTGAAGTACTATTTGTGTTAATTAGTCAACCCTGATATGCTGGTGTTGTTTCTCTTGCTTCAGGTTAAATGGAAGTCACCCTCGGGAGCTGGATGCCTGTGTAGTACATCTACCACATCAGGAGATTGCGATGAGTGGGGGAGGAGAGCAGCCAGATATCCTCAGTGTTGGTGTCTTGGTCAAAGAAAGATGGAAAGTGGTGGGTATGCTTTTCATATAAAAACTAGATAAATCATTATTCAACAAATTGTTTTTCAGTGAAGCAATAATAAATGTATCATTTGCTTGTATACTTGAAGCACTTTTTCTGTGATTAAGATAATTGTACAGTATTTTCGTGGGCAGCTAGGTGGTGAAGTAGATAGAATATTGGCCTGGAGTCAGCAAGATTCATCTTTTTGAGTTCAAATTTGGCCTCAGACACTTAATAGCTGTGTGACCCTGGGCAAGTCACTTAACCCTGTTTGCCTCAGTTTACACATCTGTGAAATGAACTAGAGAAGGAAATGGCTAACTACTCTAGTATCTTTGCCAAGAAAACCTCAAATAGGGTCATGGAGAGTCGGACACAACTGAAAAATGACTTAACAATAACTATACCTTTACTACTCTTTCTTCTGTCATATAGTGTTTAGTTTTCTTATGGTCATAAACCTATTGTTTGACATGAAGTGTATCTGGGAGGGAGAGGCCAAACAAAAAACACATTTCAGTGTCTGAGTAATAGGATGGTCCTATTCATAGTCAAGTCCTCCCAAAGATACTGTCTCTAGTTTTCCACATGATTATTTTTCCCCCAGCACCCAATCCTTTGCCATTCAAAGTGTTTTGTTAAGAAATTCAAGAAAGTTCTTTTAGGTGTTTGTGAGCATTTTGAAGTTCCTTTTTTCTTTTGGAAATGAAAGTATCATTTTTGTGACATAGCCTGTTCCATTAGTTGGTGATTTCATGGCCTTCAGAAATGTGCATATGACTTGCCACTTGATGAGAGAATTTTTTTTTAATTTAAAAATTTTTTATTTAAATGTGGATACTTTTTTAAAAATACAGACGCTTCCCAATAGACTCCTAAACATACCTCTCTATAATATACATTTCTCAAAAATCAGTTAAGGAAAACTATCTAGTAGGCTGGGGCACTGATACTGTATTTCAATAAGTACTTTTTAAAATTTCATTTTATATTCATCTTAAAATTTTGAATTCCAGATTTGAATTTCCAGAATTCCAGATTTCAGCCCCTTCCTTATGCATTGAGAAGGCACGCAGTATGGTACTCAGTATACATGTGAAATCATATAAAATACATTTCCGTATTAGCCATTTTAATTTTATTTTTAAAAGTTTTTTAAAATAATTTTTGTTTTTATACTACAGTTAGTTTCCTGGTTCATCTTCCCTCCACCTTGGTACTGCTCCCTGTTCCATACCCCTGCATCAAATCCTCATTGTAAGACATTAGTATTTAAAACTAGAGAAGGACTGTGATGCCTCTGTAGTTCTGTATGACAAGGTAGAAGTTATCAGAAATTTTTTCAGGTAGCCAGTCAGGCAGAAAATATTTATTGAGCACTGCTTTGGTCACAACACTGTTTTAAGTGCAGTACATTACAGGGGGTTGGCAGCCCTCTGGTGTATGTGCTAGAAGGCAGTACGTGAAATCCTCTGCCTGGTATGTAGTTCCATGGCCCTGGTAACGATAGCTAATAAAGTCCAGAGCTTATTTCCCCCCATTGTGTTTTGAACAAGTAGGAGCATAATTATTAAAGAGTCAGCAGAGGGAAGTGGCATTCCACCTCCTTCCTTCCTCTGACCTCCACATCCCTACCATGCTCCCCACTTGTACCTTATGGCCATGTTGGAAGGGCCCCCTTCACCTGAAAAAGAGTCTCCTCTGCCACATTTCCAAAAAGTGGTCATCCACCTTTTGTTAGTAGACTTCCAAGCAAGGAGAGCACAGTACCTTTTGAAGAAGCCCTTTCCATTAATGGCCATCTCTAATGTAAGTTTTTCCTGATGACAAGCTTAAATTGCTTCTTCATAGTTTCAACCTATCCCTTCTTATTCTGTCTTCTGGGGCCAAGCAGAACAAGTCTGTTCCCTTTTCCACGTGATAGTCCTTGGAGACAGTTACCATTTCCCTCCTGAGTCTTCTCTTTTCTCGGGTAGATACCCCCATTTCCTTCAGCTGATTCTCATTTGTCATGAACCTGAGGCCTTTCATGCTTCTGCTTGCCCTCTTTTGGACACATTCCTTCTTATAAATGATCTTCCTAAAATGTGGTGCCCAAAACTAACACAGTATTCTGCAAGCGTGGTCTGACCAGGGCAGAATATAGCCAGTCACCTCCTGATTCCTGAGGAAAAGAGGAATCTCTTTTAACGTAGTGCAAAATTACATTAGACTTTTTGACAGCCATGTTTCACTACTGACTCATAATTAAAACCATCAAATCTTTTCAAAAGAAACTGCTAAACCATGCCTTCCCCATCTTGTATTTGTGAAGTTGATGTTTTTTTTGAACTAAGTATATGACTTTATTAGATTTGGCCAAATGTCCTAGTCTGTAAAGATCTTTTTGCATACTAGCTGTTTGTTAGTTATTCCTCCCAGATTTATGCCTCTTGCAGATTTGATAATAATGTCATATACTTCCCTTTTATAGAATTGCTGATAAATCTTAGTGCCCCACTAAAACATTGAGTCTTGCACTTTTTTTTGTTGCTGTTCAGTGATATTAGAGGAAAAGAAAGAAGTATTGCCACACATTTTATCCAATCTTTTTCTCCACAAATACTGCTCAGACTTACTAGTAATGAAGTTTTAGATTGACTAATGCCTGAAGTTAGTTGGCAGAGTTGCATGGGAAAGTGTGTTGGCAACTTCCTTGCCTGTAGCCTTTGCATTAGGAGGCTCAGATAACAATCCTAAGAACAGCTACATTGGTCTACTCTTTTCTGTTACCATGTAGTTTTGGGGGGCAGGGGAGGGAAAGGGAAGTTAAAAAGTATATTGTTGCCTCTTTTTCAGAGTCAGAGACTAGAGGAAAGAGGAAGAAAATTTTAGAAGGCTGCTTTTAGAAGGCTGATAGTGTATTTTTGTTTTGAAATTAAATTAAATCCGACATTTATTAAACACTTCTTTTGGGCAGAGCGTTGCATATTGTTTCAGTGGGTTTAAAACATACAATTCATGTGCTTACTATTTAATGAATGAATTCTCAAAAATGGAGTTGTGTGACACCATCATCCCTGTGTTGTAGGGAACTATCAACTCTGAGTAATCCTTTAGGGTAGAAAGGGGCAAATCTTAGGTAAGACATTGTCCCTGCCCTCATAGAGCTTACAGTGGAGTAGGGGATATTCAGATAACTGCAATAAAAGTGCTGCTGTGGAAGATCTAAGGCAAGAAGGGCCTTTGCAGATTTCAGAGAACTGAGATTTGCTCGAATTGAAAACAAAAAGTGCCTTTGAATTGAGTATTTGAAGGGAATTCGTTAGGCAGAGTTTGTGGGGATGGAAGGAAATTCTTGGCATAGAGAACACTGTTAGTAAAATCATGGAGTCAGGAGCACACTATAGTTGATAGTAGCTCATTTAGGCCTGTAGGTGTAGAGTGCCTGGAGGGAATGTGAGAAAAGGCCAGAAAGGTAGGATAGCATCAGGTCATGGAGGGCCATGAGTGGTGAAGGAACTTTGTAGGGAGTGAGGAACGTTTGAACTGTTTTGAGCAGTGTCATGTGACCTGATTTGTATAGAAGGAAGATGAATCTGGGGCAGCAATATGAAGAAGTGCTGGCATTGTAGGAAGGTAAAGTTTAGGTAGGAAGTTGTTCAGGTAGGACCTATTATGTTGATACCAGTGGGATTAGAAAGGAGGGGACAAATTTGGAGTGGAATTGACAAGATTTGCCAGAGAGAGGAAAGAGTCAAAGCTAACTCTGGTGGGTCTCACAGGGCCCTAAAGTCCTGCAGACTTGGTGCTATCCAATGGTTGAACTTCCTTTGGAAAGGATCTGAACTTAATCCTGCCAAAAAAGCATTCTGGTGAGTCTCTTCTTGCACCCACAGAAACCCAGCAAATTATTTCATCACGTTTTTGAACCGGAGTTTATTTAGTCATTTCCCAGTCAATGGGTATCTCTTTACTTCTAGTTCTTTGCTCCCACAAAAGGTTCTGTTACATATATTTTGATATTGATGGTACCTTTCTGTCTTTGCCCTTCTTGGGGTATGCACTTAGCAGTAGAATTTCTGAGTCAAAGGGTATGGATGTTTGAGTAACTTTTTTTTTTCCCAAATAGTTTTCCAGAATGGTGGGCCCAATTCATAGCTCTTACCAAATGTATTCCTGTGCTTGTCATTGCCCCTACAATATTGATTATTTTAACTTTTTTTAACTTCGCCAATTTTGATGGCTATGAAATGAGACTTTACAGTTCCAGTTTGCATTTCTTATTATCAGGGATTTGGAGGTGGTGGTTGTTGTTGTTTGTCCTGTGTTCTCCAAGAGGACCATGACATCAGAGAGGTGATGTCATGACGTGCGAGTGAATTGGATTGAAGTGAGGGAGGGCTGATTTGGAACCGTCCTTTGTAAGATGGTAAATAGTTTATAGTTCTTATTTTGAGAACTATTCTTATCTTTTTTATCACTTATTTATTAAGCAAAGTTTTTATTATTCTATATTTTTGTGTTAATTTCTTATACATCTTGGATGTCAGACCTTTATCAGAGATAGTAGATACAAAGATATTTTCCCATTCAGTATTTTTCATTCTTACCTGTATTGATTTTTATTCATGTAAAAGCTTTGTAATTAAAATTGTCTATGTTTAGTATTTGTGATTTCTAATTTGGTTAAAAATTGTCCCAGCCATAATTTTGAAAGTGCCTCCATCCATTTTCTCTAAAATTTTTTTGACTGTTAGCTTTTATTTTTAGGTTGCACATCCATTTGGAGGGTTACCTCATCCTCAGTGACGGAGTAGGGTGATATGAGAGAGAGAGAGAGAAAGAGAGAGAGAGAGCAAGGAGGGAGGAGAGAGAGAAATCTCAGGAAATACAGAAACTGAAAGTAGAGGCTAAGTCATTTCCTAATTGTAGAGAGTTGGAGTTCTTAATTCAAATGCCATTTCGTCCCTGAAGCCTTTCCTGATTTCCGCTGTAGACAATAATCTTTGCCCTTATACCTCATA